GCATTTTTTTAAAGAAAATAACTCATCTAAGATTTCATTATGAAAAGAGCATTAATAAAAATATATCATGGAAGTTAAAAAGAAAGAAAAATAAATAGATCATGAAATGATGTTGGCAATGACATCACACTCCAAATGATGTTAGCGATGACATCGTACAGGAAAACAAATCATACTAACTAGTTCATAACCAAGTATATTATTTCGCTGATCCATCTTTGTTATATAATGTGATAAGTTGGCTCTCTTGTCGTCTGTGTAGATATTTTATTGCAGTATGCAGGATTTGTTCCATTGTCGCTCTGATGGTAGTTACCATATTTAGTATACGTTGAACAAAAATTTTAACATTGCCCAATCAATGCTTTGAGACGGTTTTACTTTGTTTAGTTTCTAATATAAAAAAAAATTCAGTTTTCGGTCTCAAATATTGGGTAACTAGCTAAATGGCATCGGCTTAATTTTATAAGAAAAATTTACCTAGAATAACCCAATTTTAAAAAAGAATTACTAGAATAACTTCTTAAAATTTTTATTGTTCAAATAACCTACTTTACATTTTGTTTCTTTCATAATACTAAAAATGTCTCTACTAACTAATTAACATTAGAAATAGATTTAATTTCAAACAAAAACATTTCAAATAAGAAAGCAGACAAAAAATTTAAAAAATCATTATGAACAAAATATAAAACACTCAAGAATCAATGTTTTCGTAGATTATAGTTTTTTTTGTAAATTATACATTCTTTTGGCAGAGTTTGTCAATGCTTTTTCAGAGTTTGCCAATGCTTCCGCAGAGTCAGACAATACTTCGGCAGAGTCTACGTTTTTAGTATAGTCTGCTAATATATCAGTAGAGTATACGTTTTTTTGGTAGTATCTACCAATATCTCGGCAAAGTCTACTAATATTTCGGTAGACTCTGCGCTTTTTTAGATAGTGGCATACTCTGCTAATATCTCGGTAGAGTCTGCCAATATTTTAGCAGAGTCTGCTAATGTTTTGCAGAGTCTGCAAAATTTCTAAATATTGGCAGAGTTTGCCAATACATCGGTATTGACAAACTCTATCAATGTTTCGGTAGAAGCTGTCAATATCTTAGCAGTGTCTGCCATTATCTTGGCAGAGTCTGCCAATGTTTCGACAGAGTCTACCAATATCTCGGTAGAGTCTATCAATACATCGGCAGAGTCTACCAATATTTCGGCAGAGTCTGCGGTTTTCTAGTAGACACTTTAATTTTTTTCTAAAATGTTGATAGACAGTCTACTAGTCTATCAATGTCTCGGCAGAGTCTGTCAATATTTTGGTAAAGTCTGCGAATAACAATTTTGGTATTACGAAATAAAAAAATCAAGAATAGGTTATTTCAGCAATAAAATAAGAAAAAATTACTCAAATCCCATGGAACTATGCGAATATGACTAGAATACCTTATATCTTTCAAAAATGACTCAAATATTTTCACACCCCTGGTTAATTACGATAAACACCCTTGATTAATTTTTCTTAATTGAGATTATTTTTAATTAAAAAATCAAAAACAAATCCACGTCATTAAAAAATAACCGTGATCAGAAAAGAGGGAAAAGTCACAAACTTTTAGGGAAGTCACAAAACGTTTCAATTCAAGTTTCAAAAGCATAAACGTTTAAGTTCTCCTCTCAAAGGAAAAAAAGAACGCAAAAGAAAGAAAAAAACCACAAACTTTTTCA